GAGAGGTAAATACGAAGTAAGAGTATTGTGTCCCAACAGATGAATTATATTTGAAAGTGGGGTGTGCGATAGACTTACCTCCACGTGGTGCACCCTGGGCAACGTATACTCATACGGCAAAAAAGTCTATAAACCGGCAGTTGACTTCTGACTTCAAACTACCATGGCCCGACTGCTTGTCATATTCGACCCTTTCCACAAAACTCATCTTACCTTTTTCTCTACCTTTGTGTCTGTCTGTCTGTCTCTTTTACATATGTGAATAGCTCTTCTGTTCCCCACCCCTCGACTTTCTTCTTCTTTGATGGTTCATTCTATGAAGCCCGAAGCCAGCTTAATCGCTAATGATAGCTATCAAAACGCCTGCCATTTGAAATAAATTAATGAATGTTATTAAGGATTATCTCGCTGCTGTTGGTAATCGTTTCATCTACCACCTTCATCGCACTTGTGTCGTGATCGTAAGTGAGGGCCCAAACACTTTGACAAATCCAAACGCAATACCTTTTGTTGATATTTACGAAATCGATCTTCATGTTCATAGGGAGAAAAAGACCCAATGAACAAGGTGGAACAAAAACGAAACATTAGAATAGGCAGCTAGAACTCACCAACTTGTTCAATTAGAATACGAAAATCCAGACAGGTGATGAATCCCGATCGCTGAGGATCGAAACTGGCGAACATGCGTGACCAGCATCGTAGGAGACTCCAGAGGGGTTGGAACTGCGATTCAACCAACTTACCTGTGTAGTGGTCATTTTGCATTGATATTAATGCTCGACAGGCGTCCGTTGTTAACTAAAATGAAAAAAAAATTAAATATATATCGACACAGTAATGTCAGAAAAAACTTGAAAAACGCCCTACACTTATTGTATTAAAAAAACACGCAAGACAAAGTTTTGATAAATTGCAAGAATGACTGCATTCACTAATCCACCGTCGAATAGGGCATTAATTGCTTTTTATCTGCCCTTGAATCGGTACTTTTAATGAAGACCCTAGTTATAAAACTGAATATGCTTTGTGGAGTCAGGAAAAGTCAATTTCTGATTGGTTGAATAAGTAGGCGAACCAATGCGACATTGTCTATCAGTCATTCAATTCACTTTGCTAATAATAATCTCTGAATATCGATGGCGTGAATTTATTCAAGGTTTAAGGTGACAGCCAATGCCATTTGAACATTCCAATCTTGTTAAAAAACTGTACAGATGACTTCACATACTTAAAATTAGTAAAAGGTCTCCATTGAGCCGTGGATAGTGCTGACATTTAGTTCAAAAATGAGTTGAACGAACGCAAAGACGTACCATAGTGTAGGGCAAACGATGATCCTCTTTGAGTATTGTATTGAGTATCGAATCCAACTGGAAGGCATCAACAGCCATAGAATCTCCCCCGGCCTCATAGAAAAGCCGTCGAATTCGCGGAGTGATCGCTTCAAACTGCGGATCTGGATCCGAGAGTGCTTGTGGCATTATACTTCCCGCATCTATCTGTCCCTGAGCACATCTTTAATTAAAAGTGAAGAAAACTTTAGTCTAGCCTGAAAGAAACCGAAATTGAATGACAATAACAATTTTTTCAATAATCTGCCATTGATTTTGTGGGACACGTTATCGCTGTGTGCGTCATCGTATGCCTGCATGTCTGCTCGCCAGGATTGGGAGGTGCGGCCGTACAACTCTGTGTGCAGCGACCGTACAAACAGTGACCAATCATCAACCCCTGTTTAACCTAATCCCCCATCCTGATCATGAGTAGCTCCATGCGTGTACACACTTCATCCGCAATACTCGTACTGAGTAAATGTGCTCCGTGCTACACGTCTGTTTCCCTTATAGCTGGGCTATAGCTTAGCTGGTTCTGGGAGTCTAGCTAGATGTTGGGGAATCTGCCATAGTGATTTCTGAGTCAGTCAGGCTTTAATAAAGTAGCAATCCGCCACATTTATTTATCTACTAATAGTTGTGCTAAAAAAAGCATTTTAATAGTTACGCAGAAAATTTCTCATTGCATTTAGAAAACATTTTTTCTTATTTATTATAATTTATTAAATTATACTTACATTTTCGTAATTTTCGGTTGAAATACAAATGACTTTTGCAGTATAACGTAAATTTCGTTATTGATCAATCAAATTAAATTTGAAAAATATTTATTAAAATATTTATTTATTTTAAATGGCAGGCTTTATGATGGTTATCATTAGCCCTTTAGCTGACTTTGGGCTTCACAAAGGGGGAGAAACATCAAAGTGGGAAAATTCGAGAGGTTTAACAGAAGGGTTCAAGGATTTAAAAGTGATAGACAGGCACAAAGGTTATGATAGTTTGAAGTCAGAAGTCAACTGTCGATTAATAGACTTTTTGCCGTATGAGTATAAGTTGCCCAGGGTGCACCACGTGGAGGTAAGTCTATCGCAAACCCCTTCATTAAAATATGAACTCTAGAGTCCCTTGTGGACAGAGGAATACCCTCACAGAACTGCACTGGGGAGAATTTGGTCCCTACATCGGTGAGGGTAGGTACCCCATCAACTTGATGTGCACCGACAGGCATTTCACCCGTGGTGCTCCTTAATTCAAACTATTTTTTAGATTAATTTATGAATTCTGCGCCCAAATGATATGATGACAAGTTTAATTTCCACCCAAAAACATAAATTTGCTAATCTTTATGGGGGTGTGCGATAGACTAACCTCCACGTTGTTCAACCTGGCCAATTTATACTCATATGACAAAAGAGTCCATTAATCGGCAGTTGACTTCTGACTTCAAACTACCATGACCAGACTGTATGGCGTATTCGACTACTTCCACAGTACTCACCTCACATTTTTTCTACCTTTATGTCTGTCTCTTTTGCACCATTGAAGCACTTCCTTCCCCTGAAGTCAACTAAAGGGCTAATGATAGCTATCAAAATGCCTGCCATTTGATATAATTAAATTAATGGTCACATTTCAAAGGGGTGTTGCGAACTTCGTTTTCTGATATCTTTTCCTTAATGACGTTAAATTTAAGGCCTTATTTAACCTTAGAAATAATTTAAAGTTCCGAACTTTTGTTTCACAAGATATTTTCGGCATTTTTTTCTAAGAAAAAAAATATTCCACTTTCATGACAGCCTTTAAAAAGACAGACTTATTTTAGAACACATGCAAATATGTATAAGATTTGCGCAATATTTTGCTATTCATATCCCGTATGCAACAACGGTCAAATTAATGATGACAAGTTATTGATCGAGTTCATCAGATAATCCCAGGCTCAATTCATCACCGCTATTTATATTTTAAACTCTCCGACTTAATCTCCTCCTAATTTGGATTGGATTAACGTCGAATTTATGAGACTGAAATGCAGAAGCAAGTGCCAAAATAGGGAAATTTTTTCCCTGCCCTAATATTAATTACCCATTTTAATACCTAATATTAGTTGAACTGAGGTGTGCAAGGGCAGTGTATACTCATAAGGCATAAAGTCTATAAACCGGCAGTTGACTACAAACTACCATGACCTGACTGTATGTCATATTCGGCCACTTCCACAGTACTCACCTCACTTTTATCTCTACGTTTGTATTCGTCTGTCTCTTTTACATCTGTGAATCACTCTTCTGTTCCCAACCCTTCCACAGTATTCAACTCACCTTTTTTCTACCTTTGTGTCTGCTCTGTCTCTTTTACGTCTGTGAATCATTATTCTGTCCCCCCTCCCCTGTCTCTTTTACATCTGTGAATCACTCTTCTGTTCCCCCTCCCTCCCTCTCTCCCGAATATTTGTGATTCTGATATTCCTCCTCCCCTCTGTGAAGCTCGAAGTCAACTAAAGGGCTAATGGTGACTATCATAAAGCCTTCTATTTGGCGTAGACATTAGTAGAACTGCAAATAGGTTTTCGCTATAGCAACAAGAGTTTGTGTCAATTCATCGTATCTCGCGATAATTCTGGTCTCTAACAGGCCACCTCAAAAATATTCAAAATTCTATATTTTACAGTGTGCTAATAACTTAAATTTAACATAAAATCTCAAATCCAAGGGCACCAGAATACAAGCGGATCACGATCTGATAAAGTGATCGAAATATTAATAAACAGAAATAGCAAAAAATTTATAAATTTTTATTTATATAAATATTTTTTAAAAATTTTATTCTGTTTTCTTACAGAGCATACGCATATGCAGTCATCGACATCTTTTCCCTGAAAAAATTAACTTGCGAGAATTTTCCCAGTTGCCATCTTAAAGAAATTTTGGGGAACTGCGTGCGTATATTTTGTGCCAAGTTTAAATCATGAAATAGGAACTTTTGGGAGGTAAGCTAAGTTTAGTAGTCACTGTATAGCATTGGGAATTTCATGCCAATAAAGGTAGAAGGCTAGACAGAGAATGCCTTTATAGGAAGCCAATTACAACCGATTAGAAAGACATAGAGAACTAGAAGGGGTCAACAATGCACAATTTGTCGTGCCTCAAAGAGATTTTGTCATGTAATCAGATACACCGTGCCATTAGCGAGGCCTGGCATATGAAAGTGCCAATCGCACTTACAAGTAGAAAATTATTAAATACGGTGCTTTCGGGTTAAATTCTACAGTCTCGGCAAGAAGCAGTGAAATTTAAAAGACAACCAATCGAAAGGAAAATTGTTCTCTCGCCAAAGAGGTTCACTCAAACTAGTCACCATTAGTGTCTATTGCGGTCTCGATACAGACCCGGTAGCGGTTCAATACAACCTGGAGCATGACGATTTTACACCTTCCTTGGTAAATGAATTCAAAAAAGCACACTTAATCCAATCCCATTGGCCGGTCGACACTTTCATTTCTAGCCCAACAATTAATGCCTCCCTCTCCACAGCTCCCAGCACATTCATAATTGGCCAATTTGGCTAGGGTCTTGAGAGCTTTGGGGTCAAGCATTCACTGGGAATAAGGAATGCAGGTTCACAACTTTCTTTATATATATGTAATCTATTATTGATTATCCACGTTTGGTATCCAGTACTTAACTACTTCAGCTGTCATAAATTTCACCTATCCAATCAAATTCAGCCTAAGCCTCTCTAAAAAATACGTGGATGGAGGTATCGAATTTTGCCGTTAAGATAGTAATACCCATATCTGAAAACCTTGAGTTAGAAAAAAATTGAGTATACATGATTAGACGTGCCCCTTTTGGACTAAATGTTAGTGAAACCATCTGTTAACTCGTGTGCTATGCTTTTGACTTGACTAAAATGCTATTCCTTAATAGTGAAGGAATTAGACCGCTTGTACTTCAATAGGATGTTTCACTCTACTCAGAATTTTTTTTGGCCTTGATTGGACGAATTTCGTGGACGTCTTCTCCGAGAAGTCTGCCCCCAATCGAAGCACGTACGAGCCTTATTGTAACACAGTCTTCATTGAATGGAAGATTCTCAGTGGAGGAGGAAAGCAAACCTCATCGACGAATCCCAAGTGCCGATGCCAAGGTACTCTGGCAGTCTTGCTCAGGTTATCGTCCTCTATTTTACTTTCTTAGAACACAACGCATTCCAGTCTCTGTTGCCATTCTCCAGTTCATGTGGGATGCTTTTAGCAGAACAGAAATCAAATCTCCTGGCTTTGACCTCCGCCGTAATACAGGCTATTATCTTCCACGATTCAGGTGGGTTCCAACCTTCATCCAGTCCCATTTTTATTGTGCATATAGATGACGAGGGCCTAAAACTTTCTAAGGAGGTCTAGTGTGTCTTGAACACCAATAGCACATCTGGCTGAAATAACCAAATGCTTTTCAACCAATTTTATCCCGATGGCTTATATATGCAATAATACGGTATACTATGGAAATTTTTTTCTTTCTTTTCATTCATAGAAAATAACTCGATTGACTGTTCAAACTCTGCTATACTAGTCATTTTGGTATATCAAGTTGAACGACGCGTCCGGGATTTTCAAATGTCACTAAACTGCCACAAGAGAGTTGTCCAATTTTCAATTTTTTTGGGGAGAAATGTGAATTGACGAAAAAAATTTGTTTCATGTGCTTATTATTTTCCAAAAAAAGAACCAATAAATATGCTTGTACTGAATTATCTTTAAAATCCGAGAAACCCTATTCAAACGATGCCAAAAGCCACAGAGAGACCGATAAAAACGCCTACAAAATTAGCGTTCTTAATTAGGTCCCCAAGTAGTGTAACTTATTATCTTAATAATCACGCATTATTGTCTAAAAGTACACACCAGCTTATAATCAAAGTTTTGCTTTTAGACACTTACTTAATTTGACATGTTTTAGAAGTTAGAAAATAAGAGGGAGTACATTTTCTCCCATTTCTCCCACCCCCAATCTATCTTAACTCGAGTGAAAATGAAATGCACCAATCACAACGAGAGCTGAGATGAAGTGCAATTTACTTTCGTGGAGGTGGGGTTGGGTTGGGTTGGGTGGGGTGGGGTGGGGTGGGGGGAGGGGGGATGGCGTGAAATCGCACATAGCAGTATGTCATCCTCAGCGCTAATATTGGATAAGAGCTTCTTTCAAAAATCGTTTCAAAATGCACTGAATTACGCTCCATGAAAGTGGACGAGTTAAAGGTTAAAAGACAGAATCCAGTCAACTTCTTTCCCTGATCATGTGGTGTAATGTTTACACTCTTTTCTGACAAGCACATGACTTAGCTTAACAGAATAATGCCAACACCTGTCGTCATACGGGGGTATAAAATTACTAATAATTGACAAGGAAATAGTAAAATAGATTTCATATGAAAAAAAAACTAAGAATGTAAGGCTATTTGTGTATTTTGCTAGGCTTAAACTAAGCACTGAAGGCATTTTTGTTGACGGGGCAGAAACTCACTTTTGAATTTTAAAAGTGACCTTTACCCAGTTTCATTACCTATTTAGTCTGCAATTTAAAAGGCACATTGGCTTTAGATTACAATAGACAATTGGACAGGATTTCATTGGATCAAAATTTGGCGGCGCCAATTGTGTACCCACCAGTGTCATTAAGAGTTGAGAAAGCTCTTTGCATTTTGAAAAATAATCTTCTTACTTAATTCCCTTCCAGGACATTATTAATCATTTAGTCCCATAATCATCCTATTAATCTTAAAATCCAAGTTTTTCCTAATATTTTATTCAATTCTGATGTAATTTATCAACAAGTACAATAGAATGTAATGACAATTGCGTATTTTGCCGTTTTTAAATAATAATATATCCTTAAAAGTAAAAATTATTAGAAATTAAAGTTAAAACGCAAAATCTAAAGTATTCAAACAAAATTAAACTTGCGTCAGTCTGATTCAAGGTTTATGCTACTTTATTAATGTCGTTAAAACGAGGGGGGGGGGGGGGGGGGGGGGGGNTGCTGTATTAAGGTGTTTGTCTTCTTATTAATGTTGTGAAAAGGGGGGGGGGGGGGGGGAGGGAGGGGAAGATGATGACTCACTCTAACGTTCGATCAGCTTGTTCAAAGAGGACTCGAAGAAGGAATTCGCCTGGTTTGTCAGCGGCATAGGTGCAGGGGATAAGGAGATAGACGCCTGGAACGAGTCGGAATCGTTTCACAACTTCTCGCGAATCATAGAAGAAGTCGACACTTGCTACGTGGTTGTTGGTCTCAAAGAAATGTCGGGTCATTGGGGGATTCGATCCAGGTGGAAGCTAGAAAAGGGGGTTGATTAATCAATATGGATTGGCAACAGAAGAAAAAGCTCAACATGGCTCAAATAGGCGCTAATCTATTTGCGCGAACCAACCACAGCCAAGGAGCATCTTTTGGATAATGAGATCAGAAGGTAAAAGTGACCCATTTACTAAGAACATTCAATTCCTCTCGATTTATGAATCCTAAAAGTTTTCAATATTTAAAGTACGTGGGAATGATGCGTTAAGCGCGCTTCGAGAAAGAACAAGAATGTACACCACGGTCATAATATGGGAAAAATGGGAGAAACAGTGGACAGTTGCACTCTCCGACTTAGCCGACTGGCCAAGAATCGAAGCCATTGCTGAGTTTAGATCACCTACCGGACATGATTGTCTGGCAAAACCCCTTCTCAGATTGGGAGTATACACTCAACCAACATGTCCCCTATGTAATCAACAAGAAGAAACGGAGAAGACCCACATGATTCGGTGTCCAGCCCTAAAGACAACGACAGACACCCAAAGATACTGGGAAGCAAGAAGACAACTTATGAACTGCTATCAATTAATTGCTATATATGTATCCCCACCCACGGGGAAAGCTGAAGTCAAATTTTAAGAGCTAATGATAAATATCATTAGGCCTGCCATCTGAAAAAAATATGGGAAAATCGCTTAAAAATGCCTCCTTGAAGCTGTTTTGAAGAATTCGACACTGTTCCAAGAAAAAAAACGCTTTCGAGGTAAGGCGTTTAAAATAATGGCCACATTGATATACAACTGGAGATGCGGAAGAGTTAGAGAATGGAAGTTTCTCTTAATTGCAACTATTGAACGCCCTCCATCTGTCCAAATATTAGCCAGAGTGAATCGCGAAACAGCTCGTAGAACCATGAACTATTCCATTGTAGAGTTCTCATTAAAGCTGAATTCCGTTGCATAATGGTCAATTTAATTACAATCGAGTAGGTGAATACAAACTCCTAATAGGATTTTTCGGGAGGTGGGGAATTTGATTTATGAAATTTGGAGGTACATTCTTTAATCCATTTAAGGATTTCATTTAGGCAATTGGATAAACAAACCTCTACAGTATTTTTAAGAAAAAAACAGGTGTTTTAGAGATAAACATGCTAAAATGAGTAAGAAATTCTGAAAGCAATAATCCCACTTGAGAAGAAACAAACGTTTTCAATCGGCAATGACATGTCCAACCTCAGGATGAACGAAATCGAACCAAGTGCTCTTAATATTGTTGGCGTAATGTCACTCATGAAAGTGGAAGTCAACTCAAGACAATGGAGAATACCAAGACGTACCAGAGCCGTCGGAATTTAGAGATAAAGATAAGTTCCATTTCCATAGTTTTCTTCCTTCGTATGCCTTCTCAGAATCGCGTGTGCAAAGAAGGCAATCTTGTGTCACAATTATTATTTTACTATTTTCTGAAGTTGACTGTCATTTTATCGAATGCTCCAACTGCTGGATATTAACTACATCACTTTGTCAATTAACTTAATTAAGCTTTCAATAAAACTATGCCTTCTCAGTCTTTTTTTTCTTTTCCTATAATTTTACTTTTCCGTCAACAGAGTTTACTAAAATATTGGATACTCAAAATAGTTACTCAGTTAGCGAAGTTCGGATTTAGAGTTTATCTTATTGCAATTCTCTCGATTACAACAACAAAACAAGTTAACGATTCCTTGAGAAGAAGGAACTTATTATAAATTAATAATCGTAATAGTAAGATTTATTAAATATATTATGCCGACCCTCGTAATCAATACAAGGCTGTATGTACTCTTCTCTATTTAGTGGACAAATGATTAATTATTTCGTGTTGAAATTCATTGCGTGTCTTATTCAGGGTTGTCTTTTATTTCAAATGATTCATTCACCCCGGGGGTTTAAGTGGGAGATTTAATTAATTATAAATGCAAACTTATTATTAATTAAACTTCAATTCCTGTTCCGACTATTGAGAAAGATTAATTTCCTGTTTCAGCGAATAAAATTACTCAATTTTATTTAATGTTAACTTAGCAGTTGCGAATCGATTTTTCGATAATATGAACATTTAAAAAAAATAGGATAGGGCTCATTGAATTTTGGTTTATTCATATTCATTCTATTGCCATTCTACTGCCCACGCATTCAATTAATCAGTTTATCATTATTAGATACTTTAGATCAACAAATGTTGTACAGTTTGCCTTGCTGTAGATAGCAATTAGTCAATCTAATTAATTAAAGAGCATAAAAATGATTTTTTAGAGTGTTTCAGATCTTTATCAAAACTTTTGCTTTTTGTTTATCACTTCCATTTCAGTACATTTTCCACATTCAAATTATGAGCAATGATTGGTAAGAGGCAGCACCTAAATGACCTTTGAGAACTAAGTGAGAAGCTTGAGCAAAACGTGTAATTGGCAAAAAATAGTTTTTAATCTTAATCTTGCTTTAACATATTTGGAAGCTTTCAGAATATTTAATATTTTTTTGGAAAAAGTGAAAGTTAACAGTTGCCTATTGTTGGGACGAAAATGCTCAGACCTTGAAACCATCACCACATTTAGCCCATCTCTTTTTACCGAAACGTGCTTCTGGATGCACCCAAAGCGGAGGATGTAGAAGGTCTACGCGTGCCCTGACCTCAGTGTCTGTTTTGGTTCTCGTTGTGCGGTTATCTGGACCATTGTGAACGTAGAGCTTGACCAAATTGGAGTTAATTAATGTCGACACCTCATTCCATCTATTCATTGCTGTTCTGTTCTGTTCAAAGCTTCCCCCACCTCCTTCCCCCCCCCCCCCCCCCCCCCCTCCCTACCTCCTACTATCTATTTTTCACCTATCTAGGCCCTTTTAAGCTTCCACCGTTGTGAACATGATAGTCCGTCTTACTAATCTCTCCAAACCTGATTATTCACCCATCGTTTTTAAGTATTTCCTATACTGAGGTAACGAATATCGGGGTAAATAGGAGGGGTAGTAGATTTATAAGCTTTATCCGTTCTGCCTAAGTGATAAAAATTTTAACGTACGAAGCATGTTTTTTTAAAAATGCTCCCAACCACACTCACGCGTGTCTCAAAGCAGACTGATGCCACCGACGTGATGAGTTTTGGTGATGTATCAGGTGAAGGCCATAGACACGTATTGAACATGTTTCAAAGGGCATTAACGCCTTCCGTTGAGAGTCTAGTGCCAATTGAGCTTATTTTTTGAATGGGAACCGTGATTTAAATTATACCCAACGTCCTCTGAAGAGATATTTATTCAAGGTGTAAGCCAACAATGAAAGGAATGTATGTTTACTCTAAACGTTTCTCATGACCTGATACCGCTATTATGAATTACTGTTTCTTCTCAAATGAGACAGATTGAATTGCTTTAATTTGCTCATGTTGAACAAGGATTTGGAGCATTAATAACAACCGAAATTCCTTTGCGTGAACATTGAAAAATGTCGTAAAACACAAAAAAGAGTCTCAGACATTAATACGATGCCGTTTTTTTAAACTGAAATGACTTTTTGATCAAATAAAGGCTAATAATGTATACGAAGAAGAATATCACCTGTTTATCTGTAAACTATGAGCATATAACTTACTCTGTACAATACAAAACCAATGGAGAGAAGTAGTGGGGCACGATGTCTTAATGGTCTGGAGTCTGCTTGAAGAAGCGCAACCACCAAAGCGGCTAAGCCTTCAGGATCTCCCATATCAGGAGTTGGAATCCGAACAACATATTGAGGGTTCGCCCAGTGGCTAGCTCGGACAAATGGACGTCCACCAGCAGTCACTCCTCGCACCCACCGGCCGAAGAAACTCGGCAAAGCCCGGGTGACTTTACTCTCTGATCCTCCTGATGTGTGATTTGTCAGAGAAAGGGTATTGGATCCACTGATAGTGTGCTCATTGCTTGGAGACTCAATTACATGGCATATATCGAGGTAGTCGAAATTTGCGAGAAAGTCTTCCATAGACATCCTGAAAGCAAATAGTTGTCATTGTTTGCCTCTTATGGACTGCTGAATCATACCTCACATGCATCTGTTCTATCCCAACCACAACACACTGGTATCGTTAACAATGAAAACAGGACTCTAAGCACTTCCCAAAAAAATCTCGACATGTGTGCTTCAAGCGAGCTTCCAGGCAATTCACGCAGAACCTTTGTACTCACTCTCCGTGGCTTTACCTCATCATTCACTCAAATCTCATTCTTGCAATTCTGGGACGAACAGCAACCTCAAGAAGATCCATTTAGTCTTTTGTTTTGGTTAGAGTGACACTGTCTTCTAAACACAACGCATATTTTAGTTTCTTTTACGTCGACTAACTTTTCTGCTTATACTTAGGTTCACTTCACATCAACAATGTCAGGTGTTAAGCGAGAGGGCGTGAGAGCAGTGGTCACCCTAGACGTCAGATTTGTCAAAGGTCACGTGATCGATGACTATCAGTGTACAACTACTGATAGAGATGGCAAGTCGCACTGCCTAATTCCAATTATATAGTGGAATAGTGAAATGTAAGTTTCATGCAAGAACTGAGCTATCCAAATCAGGTGTTATCAATAGTTGCCATGTCGAGGAAAGTTTACCTCTTAAAAATTTTATTTTCCTTGATTTCAAATTTGGGGACATGGAATAGTTTGCTTCTGGTGATGCCGTTGTGCTTTAAAGTATCTAATTCACTTCGAGTGTAGAGATTTTGGAAAAATAAAACCACGAATCTGCAAGGAGTGAAGTGAATATTTCGCGAAACCCGTCTACATTCCTTGAACGGATGTTGAAAATTCGATTTCATTTTCTTGAGGTCAAAAACACATTTTCAGGGTGTTTTGAACCGTCGAAGAAACTCTTCATAGAGACGGAAAAAATTACAAAGAAGTAAATGAGATATGCAGAAATATGTGGGACACTTTATCGCTTTGTGCGTCATCGTATGCCTGCATGACAGGATTGGGAGGTGCGGCCGTACAACTCTATGTTCAGCGATACGTCATCGCATGCCTGCACGCCAAGATTGGGAGGTGCCACCGTAAAAACAGTGACCGAGCATGTTTGTTTAACCTAATCAGCCATCCTGATCATGATTAAGTCCCCTACGTGCACACTTGATCCGCAATATCCGTACTGAATAAATGTGCTCCGTCCTACACGTCTGTTTCCTTTATAGCTGGGCTATAGCTTAGGTGGTTCTGGGAGTCTAGCTAGATGTTTGAGAATCTGCCACGGAGCTTTCTGAGTCAGTCAGGCTTTACCAAGGTAGCAATCCGCTACAAATACATTTAATATTTAACAAGGCACCACTCAATTTACCTCATTCAAAGTATGTTCCCATTTAGTAAGTTCTACAGTTTGGCAAAGCTTACCGATTTATCCTAACCAGTGTAGTCATATAGACGTAGAAATAAGCTCTTAAAGTTAATCATCACAATAGGTATTAACTGAAGTCATTAAGAACTGAGAATTGGTGAATCAAAAATCCAAAATTTAATAATAAATATAATTATTAGCACAAATAAAAGAATTATATATTTTGTTTCAATGAATGATCATCTGGCATAAGAAGGGGTTACAATTTTGCCAATTAAGGGAGAAATTGTACGGAGCTTTCACAAATGGAAACTAGTATGACAAAAAGTGCAGCGAAAATCCTCACTTTACAACATGGCAATATAATAATAATACTAATAATAATATAATAATGATAATAATAATAATTGACACGAGAAAGTCCATAGTGTTAGACTTAATTTATTTTCCAAATCAAGAATTAAATAGCGTAACTTATAATTTAATTGCGTTTAAGAAGAAAAGCTCAAAATATTTTTTATAAAAAACATGTCAATTTACTTTTAAAATAAATTCATTTTTTTCTAAGTCTACAAATATGTTTCAAAATTTGTATTTCTGAAGATAAGGTATGCTGAAATTCAAAATGAGTAATTTAATTAGCATAGTGATGATGATGATGGAAGGTTACTAATTGGCATGCAGAAGGAAAAGAAATGAACTCGACCAAAAACGATTTCAAAGGACGAATATTCTTTTTAGTATTCACTTTTTCCCCAACCGTCGCATTCGACATTTGAGAAACAAAGGAAGTGTGGAATTCTGGTTCTTGAACTGATGGTGTTTCAAAAATTCCACAGATATCTATTATTAAGCTTTCGGTTACTCGCATTTTAGTCTTGATCCCACGAGCCAACTCTGCCGTCGAAAAGGCTGTGAGTGTCCATCTCAAAATCCAAGAAAACAGGAAATGACATGAAATTCAATTAAATCTTAGTTGTTACACGCACCTTTGCGCAGGATCCAACCCAGCTGCTGATGAAAATGAACATCCTGCTCCACTCCCTAGAGTGGAAATTATCAACCACATGACCATCTCCACATCTCCCTAAAACTGAAGAAGGATGATTCAATAGTGCGCTTTGAAACACTTTATCGAGCTGTGTTGTGCACTGTCTACTACCGTGGTGTAGTATAAGTAGAAGAGTTGTGGAAAGCAATGATGACTGCAAATGAATTGATCAATAGGGGGGCTAGTGATGTGACCATCCTCCATTCGACACCGGTGCAAATCAACATTTGTAATGGTTTGTTAAAAACAACTCACAGAGTATGTGTATGAACTGCAATTCAGTAGTCATCGAACCACACAAAGACGTTGATGTGATAACTGCGAAGAAGCAAAAGGTAAATCCCAAATCTTTTGCTTCATTTTGTGGCTCAAGTGAATTCTGGCCACACCATCCACCACATCTCACATCTAAAGCATGGATAACCACACCGACGAATAGAATTCTCCACATTATCTCTACACTCTGTACCTATGAAATTTGAAAAGCATTGATTCCACCGTATCCGAATTCTGGAGCCTAATGTTTGCAAAATCGTCCAATAGGAGCAAATGAGCAGAAATAACAGTAATCTATGGTCATTTTAAAGATCTCATCTTTATCAAACTCTTCAGCAAGCTTCCAGCATGCACATATGCATGCTAGTTTATTTGTTTCAAATGGCAGGCTTTATGACAGTTATTATGGGGTGCGTTTTCAAATGGCAGGCGTTATGATAGGTATCATGGGGTGTGCAATAGACTTACCTCCGTGGTGCACCCTGGGCAATGTATATTAGACTTACCTCCACGTGGTGCATCCTGGGCAACGTATACTTATACGGCGAAAAAGTCTATTAACTGGGATTGACTTCTGGCGCAGTACTCATCTAACCTTTACTCTGCCTTTTCCCCACCCTCGACTTTCTGTTACTTTGATGTTCCTTCCCCCTGTGAAGTCCGAAATCAGCTAAAGGGCTAATGATAACTAACAAAACGCCTGCCATTTGAAATAAATAAATAAATGACAGTTATTATTAGCCCTTTAGCTGACTTTGGGCTTCACAGAGGGGGGGGGGAGGAACATCAAACACAGTGTCTGTAGATCTGTTGCAACTGATTAACTTTCAAATTAAACGTCGGGATCCGATTATTGAGTGTCTGAGTTAGGTCAGATCTTCAGTGTTTGCGAAAATTTACCGGTCAATTCGATTTGAACATGACTTCATGAAGCGTGTGTCTAGTGGATAAGCCAAAAACAATTTGCTGATCACAACAAAGATTCTTTGCATGGTACAAGTGGCATGCAAATCTTAACCCAATCATTGACTTTTTCCAAATTGTCCTAATAAGCAAACTGCATAAACTTTCCGCATAAATATGGAGATTGGTCTAACTGTGTTAACAAACGTAGAAATTTCAATAGACTACCTTTTGAGGTCATTCTATTCCCTTATTGTTATTATTAAATGAAATCCAGCAATTTTTGAAACCAGGTAAACCCGTATTTTAGTCTTTGAAGCACTCCCTCGAACCCTATTCGAGAAGATTAGGAAAAGTTCGAACCGAAATGAATTGAATTGACATTTCCGTTAATAGCCCAGTCATTGTGTACTTAATTTTGTAGACAGGCATATTTTGTTTTCATGGTGATGATTCGCGGTATTTGAATTTCAAAATTTTAAATGCCAATTTAGGAAAAAAATATTGTACAACTAGAGTACCAACTAACTTTCTTTCACATCAGCAACTTTAAATTTGGCAGTTTCTTCCCACAATTTACTAGTACAAATCTTTCCCCATTGTTGTTGCTTGCAATAATGTCCAGTCTTAATGAGAGATCATTGGCGAATTACTCTCGAACAACTATCGTCAAGCTCTTGCGGATCACAACTGCGTGCACTTACCAGAATTCTCCCTCCCCTTTGACAAGTCCAACTTTAATTCGGTCTTCAGGTGGTAGTGAAATCCATTCCGATGATCCCTCGGACCAAGCTCCGACCCAACCCACTCGAGCCGACGGCCAGAGATTTCGCAGTCGCACCAGACGAACTAGCCTCGAACCCGCCACATCGGTCAGTCGTAGCTTCCTACAGTCTGTTAAACCAAACGCCTGACCCGGTACGAACCCCTGGGGGAGAACAAAACCACTCGCTGGACTTCCTTTGGTCTAAAAGAAGAGGAGTGAGGCGACCACTGAAATGTTGTTTTAAAATGGTTCCACTAATAGCGATTCAATCTCAGCGCTCAATCAAGCCTTGTTATCGCTCTTACGTTCACAAATTGGGGTGTGTGATAGACTTATCTCCACTTGGTGCACCCTGGGCAACGTATACTCATACGGCAAACAAAGTCTATTAACCGGCAGTTGACTTCTCACTTCAAACTGTCATGACCCCACTCTATGTCATATTCGACTACTTCCACAGTAGTCACCTCACCTTTTTTCTACCTTTGTGTCTGTCTCTTTTACATCTTTGAATCACTTTTTTCCACTTTGATGTTCCTTCCCCTCTGTGAAGCCTGAAGTCAACTAAAGGGCTAATGATAACTATCAAAATGCCTGCCATTTGATATAAATAAATAAATGCGTTCACAAATTCCAAGCGGTGCTCTTATTTACTACCCTAGACAGGCAAAGCATTTGGCATTTAATTGGGAAATAAATGCCGGGATTAGGTAATAATATTTGATGATGGAGTCATTTATTTTTGGAAATTTTACGATCACCATTCCATCTCTGCGCCTTTCGAAAATATCCCTTCTGTGACAATCTTTTTTATATTTAAATGCATAAAGTTATCTATTCTAGACGAATTTTGATGAAATAATCAATATCACCCTTAATAACGTCGTGTGTCGATAGTTAGTAGATGGGAAAGTTTGGGAGTGTCTTAGAGATCAACCCCCCCCCCCCCTCAATTTTGATCTGTTATTCCCAAAGAGACTCATATTTTCAGATCTCGAAAAATATATAGGGTGCGATTAGGCAGATATTGCCTTGTCAACCCTTTTCAAAAGTGATAAAATGTAGAAATATCTGCAAGTAGCCTCCAATTAAGCTTTGATATCAATTCATTTTAGTACTTTTTCATTGTCAGTACGCTTTTTCAAGTGCAAATATGAGCTGCATC